TCTCACCGGGCAACTATAAACACACACACACACACACACACACACACACACACACACACACACAAAGATCATTTTAATGAGAAATAAAACAACACAGAACATATATCCGTATGACGCACCTGTCTGTGGTGGTGGTGAGCGTGTCTGTGTCTTTACAGTATCGCTCTTCACTGAGCTTGAGCATCTTCTTTCTGGCGTGATCATCCAGATTCAAGCTGGAGAGCTTCACCTGCAAAGATAGAAACCTTTTTTTAATTAAGGAGAGTGTTTGATTCATTAAAACGGCATCACGATTGAGAATACATGAGGAGTAATGTATAGTCAGACAGTAAGCACTGACAGGATGATCAGGATCCTGCTTATCTCTTGATGTACAAAAATAACTAAAACTGAAATAAAATTAATGAAATATGACTAAACACAAATCACTCATTTTAAACATTAAAAGGAAAACGGAAAATACAAATATAAACTTTAATATTTTTTTCTAAATGTTTTATAACATTTATAAAAAATTGATTTTATTAAAAATATTAATAAAAACTATAAAAGTAACTCGATGCTAAAATAACAAAAAAATTAAAATGACAAAAAAATCACTAAAACTTAAATAAAGAGAAAATATTAAAATAAAAACCTAAATATTTATAGATTTTTCTAAATAAAATTTAAAACATTTATAATAAATTCAAAATATTAATAAAAACTATAATAGTATCTCAATTATATTAAAATAAAAAATAATAAATAGTAATGAAAATGACAACACAACAAAATCACTGAAACCTTAATTTAAATAATATAAAAATAAAAACTTCAATTTTTATATAATTGTCATATACAGTATATATATATATATAGAGAGAGATTTATTTCCCAGTCTTGAAAGTTCATCAAAGGACAATGAGTCACTTAATCCAAATCTTGAGCAGTTCTCCAGCAATCATTTTCACTTGGTGTTCCTCCAGTCATCTGAAATACACTTTCTATTAAATCTTTATTCTTCCAAACAACAAACCCTCAAAAAGCACTAACTATTATGCACAACTCTGCTCTTTAAATCCCACTCCGGATCGGCACAAACACAGCCCAGAGTCGTCACTAAGCTCTCTCAGAGAACAAAACAACGGCGCACAATGCAATATTACTCAATTTATCTGGGGTTTCTGGCCGTTCCAGTTAAGAAATGATGGGGGAAAGACCCTCATCCCGTAAATCTGCCCTTTGATCCCCTTCACATCAGCCCTGATCCAACGGGATTAACGTCAGATGCTGATTCCCGGGTTTTCAGGCAGATGGTGAGAGATTTATGATAAATCACACATTTCAGATTATAAATAAAGAGAGAATATCTCAACATCAATGAGGTTTTGCTCAGTAACACAGCATTGCACTGACGAGTGAATTTGTTTATTGGAAACAGTCAGCGTTTACTTGAGCGAAAATGACTTTTATTAATAATCCGGGACAATTTATGATTATTTAATTCTCCTGTACTTTTCGTAACATGCTACAGAATATGTTTAAAAGTCCCATATTGTCAAAACTGAAATTTCCTGGCTTTTTTCACGATAACTGAGGTCTAGGTGCTATGTAACTACCATATAAGTTTCAAAACAGTCAGTCCACAGTAAAATGCACACAGCCTGCATAAAATAGCTGTGATTTTTCAGGAACCGTTGTGACTTCCGTAAAAAGTTGACGTCAGAACTACACAGTCACCGCCTTCAGTCACCACCCCGAGCACCGCCCACCATCCCACTCTCCTTTTGCCAAACCCCCAGACAACATCACATCCATGCCATTGCTGAGCAACAACAACATGGAAACATGTCGAAAAGGTTAACTTTAACCACGAAACCAGATCCGTCGACATCACATCTAACGTGTATAGTAAAGACATTTGCGCTAGTTTAAATGGGCCGCCTCCAGTTTCCCCTTTGTTTTGCTGCCTCCAGCTTGCGCTGTGACGTCGGCTGTCCCTAGTTACCTGTGGTTGGCCTGGCCGTGTGTCACTCAGAAAACAACAGGCCAATCAGAAGAGAGGCTCATGAATAGTAATTAGACAGGCCAAAATTGACTAAAAATATATTGAGATGGTTTTTATTCTTAAGGACATCAAAACCTAAAATAAAACTCTAGAAAGGTGTAAAATATGTGACTTTTAAGTGTAAATATTGAGCCCGTCATCGTAAATATCCTGCTGATTACAGAACCGGCTTTACTATCAAAATGCGCATGACAATCGCCTTTGATTAATCGTGCAGCCCTAACGCCAGACTATATTTTGACTCAATATCCGATCCATCTTAATTCAATTCAAGTTTATTTGTATAGTGCTTTTGAAGATGCAAATCGTTGCAAAGCAACTTTACAGAAATGTAAAGAACTCTGGACAAATGAAACGGGGAGGAATCTCTCTCTTATTACACCCACATAATATTTGCATGTTATCAACTGCTGTCCAATGTTGAAAACATTATCAGTCTTCAAACTCACGCTTCAGGGCCGCACAGTGCTTCTTAATGGCAACCGGGGTTAAGTGTAAAAAGTTTGGAATCTGAAAGACATTAGAGGACGGGACCTTTTAATATACACTGCCGCTCAGAAGTTTGGGATCAGTAAGACTTGCAATGTTTTTTAAAGACGTCTCTTCTGCTCATCAAGTTGTATTATGTTGTAGTTGTATTATCAAAAATATATTTAATTGAGATTCACTCACTGTTCGCAACATATATTTAACAGCCTATATTTCAAATATATTTGACGCGACGCAAGTGTATAAAGAACGCACGAACGCGTTTATCACAGCTAAAATATCTCTGTGAAACATTTAGCTTGTAAATAACGTATATAGGGCCTATTGTTAAACGATTATATATACAAAAAAACTTCGATTAGCTATATTTAGGCTATATTTTATATAATTTTTTATATTATTATTATTATTATTATTATTAGCAAACTCATATTTCTTTTTTTTTTCCAGAGAATATGGCGTAGCCTAATCCTCTTTACATGCATCAGTGCCGAAAACGTTTGGATTTGTAGATGTTTATGATTATTATGACAGAGAGGGACGCGCGTCAGGTGTATGCGTGCTCTCGGCATCTCTGCACACGTGCTTCACTCACAGCATCACAGACAGACAACTGATGCACATCTCCTCATCACTGCAATTAAAGCGTTTAGCCTGCTTCAGATGATGATGATGATGAGGAGGAGGAGGAAGAACTGACGCGCAGCTCTGCACGAGAGACATCAGGAGCCCTGCTGGAGAGGTATTGTTGATTAAAAAGTGCATTTCTTTTAGTTTAAAGTGATGTTGTCCATTGATGACAGATTAACAATGACTTCGTGTGTGTATGAATTAGAAAAAAGCTGTTTTTGACATTTCACAGTTAAAATTGCGCGTGTAGTGTCTATGATCAAACAGTATGATGAAAAGGCATTTATTCGCAAATAAAATAGTCTATTTCTGTGTTAAACTGAACATGAATAAACATTGTTTTGTTTTTTTAACATTTTCTGTTGAACGTTTTGAATGCACAAAATATGCATATAAAAATGTAGCCTATGATAACTTGGTAATATTTTACAATAAGTTTATGCTTGTTAACAGTTATCGCACAGCTCAGCGTGAAATAACAACGAACAAGCGTTTTATTTATTTATTAAAAAAAAAAAATATATATATATATATTTTTTTTTAAATGTCAAACGTCGTATATGTTAATGTAAGCTAGCAATAAACAAAACTATATAAACGTATCAAAGTGAATAAATGTTGCAAAGAAATATTATTTATGATACCTGTGTTAACTAATGTTACTGTAAACAACTGTATTGTAAAGTGTAACTATAATAGTGATTTGAAATGATTTAAATGTATTCATAAATTCCTTGCATAAATAGTATAAAGATTTATAATTTTACATTATATATATATATATATATATATATATATATAAGATTTAGAATATATATTCACGTCAATAATATAAAGAATTGCTTACTTTTATATACGAATTGTTTACTTTTTTATATACTATAAATATACAAAATATAAAAAAAAACAGCTCTTAGAATTTTTCATGCAAGTATGTGTGCAGTCATAAGTCTTATAAAATCTGGCGACATAAATTAAGAAATTTGTAATAAGTTATTATAAGAAATAATTGAGCACTTTTTGTAGAAACCTATGAATCCCATTTGTTTTGGTTTGATAACTTGGAAGAGTGACCGGTTTCATTCATTTGCTACATTTGTGTTTTATGCACAACTGAATGTTTCCCTCTCTGTCCACTAAATCCTCTCGACACGCTCCTGACATTGTGATCTGCAGCTTAAAGCGGTCATCTGACACTATATCTGCCTCTGTGACTGACAGACATGGCAGAGAGGATGGCAGGGTCCTGTTTCGATTTGTCTCCACTCACAAAGCTTTTTCCAGTGGCTTTGTGTGTCCGTCCGCTGGTCATCTTATGATGGATCGGAGATCTCGTGATTTCTCTTGAGGGGAAAATCTGACCTCATTAATTAGGGTATTTACTCCTCTTCCTCACTGCTCAGTGACTGTCTGAGGAAGACCTCAGTGAAATCACAATCAAGCTGATGAAACTCATTCAGCACATGCTCAGTACTGTCTGAGCAAAAACAAGTGTGATTGTTCCATTCTGAGAGACATTTTTAACAAAAAATTTGCATTTATTTGATAAAAAATACAGTAAAAATAGCAATATTGTGAAATATTATTACAATTTAAAATATCTGTTTTCTATGTGAATATCTGTTAAAATGTAATTTATTCCTGTGATCAAATCTGTATTTTTCAGCATCATTACTCCAGTCTTCAGTGTCACATGATCTTCAGAAATCATTCTAATATGCTGATTTGCTGCTCAAGAAACATTTCTGATTATAAGTGAGTGAGTTTTCAGTACTATTAAACATGATCTCATGGTGCATGTGACCGTCAGAGGAGGGCTATGGATGTGTCTGGGGATCTTCAGTGCATCCTCATGTAATATTAACCTGTCTGAGATTGTCTGAGCTGCGAGCTGCTCCTTATTTAAACCCGCAGACTTGGAGCATGTCATGACACCTCATGAGCTATTGTGTGCTGTGACTTTCCAACAACTAATCAATCAAACGCAACCCAATACACAAAATCACCAAGACTGTAAACAATCTTAAAAGGTGAAAACCAGTGTGAACAATTAAAGGAACAGTTCATCCAAAAATGAAAATGTGCTGAAATGTGCTCACCCTCAGGTCATCTGAGATGTAGAGAAGTTTGTTTTTTCATCAGATTTGGAAAAATGTAGCATTGCATTACTCGCTCACCAATGGATGTGAATGGGTGCCGTCAGAATCAGAGTCCAAACAGCTGATAAAAACATCACAATAATCCACAAGTAATCCACACCACTCCAGTTCATCAGTTAACGTCTTGTGAAGACAAAAGATGTGTGTTTGTAAGAAACAAACCCATCATTAAGACTTTTTAACTTTAAACAGTTGCTAAAATACGAGTCCATATTTCATAATATTCCTTCCTCCAGTGAAAAAGTCGTCTGGTCTGAATCAGGAGAGAAATCTGCACAGATCAAGCACCGTTTACAAGCCAAAACAGCTCTAAATAAACATGTAGGTGGATTTTAATGTGAGAGGAGAACAGGAGATGGACTTTTACACTGGAGGAAGTGTTATTATGAATTATGGATGCATATTTTAGCTGGAAGCGACGGTTTGAAATTTAAAACGTCTTAATGCTGGATTTGTTTCAGCTTTTGTCTTCTCCAGATGTTAACTGATGGACTGTAATTACTTGTGGATTATTGTGATGTTTTTATCAGCTGTTTGGACTCTCATTCTGACGGCGCCCATTCACATCCATTGGTGAGCGAGTGATGCAATGCTACATTTCTCCAAATCTGATGAAGAAGCAAACTCATCTACATATTGGATGATCTGAGAGTGAGTACATATTGCACACGTTTTTTTTTTAAGGTGAACTTCCTTTAATTTCCCCCCAAATGTGTTCTCCCTTTACAGGTTTGGTGGCATGGCAGATTAATGGCTTTGGAGCAGTCAACTCCACTGAAACGAATCCCCACCATGGGGGACAGGCTGGGCCGCACAACCCCTCTGTTATCCCGTGGACGTACGTTTGGATGGTCCACCTCCAGCAACAGCCTCAAACTAAAGAGCTGCGGCCACAAGGGCTACGACTTCCAGCACAGCCTGGAGGAGGCAGCAGCGCCCAGCGCTTCCCTCACCGCGGCACACTCTCCTGTTTCACTGGAACTGGAGCCCGTGATGAATAATGGATCAAGCGTGCCCGTCGCTCCAGATGGCCACACAAAGGAGCCACCGGCGCACAGCAAGCGCTGCCAGCCCCTCTCCATCTCCACCGTCCTGCTTCCTGCCGCCGCCCGCTTCACGCACAGCCCTTACCACGCCAAGACTAGCATGCAGGGCGATGTGTACAACTTCCTAGAGAGACCCGCCGGCCTGAGGTGCTTCCTGTATCACTTCCTCGTGTGAGTAGACCGTTCCTGTTCACCTGCATGTAGCATTTGTGAATGTGAAGCTTATGATTGGTTTTTAATCAGACTTTTATCACGCTAACTTCACATCATTCTGACATCATTTAGACATTGTCTAAAACTGTTTCAAATGCCATTTTGTTAATTAGAGCTCGTAAATATGAAGCTTGTGATTGGTTAATAGGGTTTAAATTCTGGATTGTGGTTTATTTGAGACTATATAATTTATTTTTTAAGTGCATTATTCATTATTGATTTTTACGTTAAGTACTTTTAGGAAACTGACGTCCTGCAGTGTGACATGCCACATCTAAAACTATTTTAAATAACATTCTGCTAATAAGCAAATATGTGACCCTGGAGCACAAAAGCAGTCTTAAGTCGCTGGGGTATATTTGTAGCAATAGCAAAAAATATATTGTATGGGTCAAAATTATAGATTTTTCTTTTATGCCAAAAATCATTAGGATATTAAGTAAAGATCATGTTCCATGAAGATATTTAGTAAATTTCCTACTGTAAATATATTAAAACAATTTTTGATTAGTAATATGCATTGCTAAGAACTTAATTTGGACAACTTTAAAGATGATTTTCTCAATATTTAGATTTTTTTGCACCCTCAGTTTCCAGATTTTCAAATAGCTGTATCTCGGCCAAATATTGTCCGATCCTAACAAACCATACATCAATGGAAAGCTATTTATTCAGCTTTCAGACGATGTATACATTTCAATTTCAAAAAATTGACCCTTATGACTGGTTTTGTGCTCCAAGGTCACATATATGAAACTTATGATATATGATTATGAAATGTGTGATTGGTTAAAAGGATTATTTTAGTGTAAATATTGGTTGAGGCATGTTTAAATTGAAGAAAAATATTTGTTTTATGTTAATTTGAGACTTTATTTTTATGTGCATTATTGATTTTTAGATTTGGGTTGTTGACATATCCTGCTGTGTAACATGGTAAAAATTATTTTAAATAGCATTTTGCTAATTATCATTTGTAAATATGAAGTATATCATTGGTTAAAATATTTTTTTAAGTGTGATTATTTGTTTTATGTTTATTTAAGGCATATTATTCAAATAAGAAGAGACTATAAAATGTATGTTTATGTAAATGATTGATTTTTATGTTTGGGAAGTTGACAAGCTTCATGTACAAATGCTAATTAGCAAAATGTTGATGAAATGTAATTTTTAATCAGCATGTCACACTGCAGTGCTTTGACATGCTGATTAGCTTGTGATTTGTTTAAAAGGATTTTTTTTCAGTAAATATTTGTTTTATGTTTATTTGAGACTATAGAATATAGACATAATTGATTTCTATATTTGGATAGCTGACATGAAATACTTTTGAGAAGTAACTATTTTAAATAGCATTTTTCTAATTGTAAATATGAAGCTTGTGCTCGGAAAATAGGGTTTTTAATCAGTTTAAATTGAGGATGGATATTTATGTTTATCTGAGCCTATACAGTTTATTTTTAATATACATTATTGATTTTTATATTTGGGCAGTTGAAATATTTTTAAGAAGTTGATGTCGTATTAATAGTATTTTCTAAGTAAATATGAAGCTTGTGATTGGTTAACAGGCATTATTTTCATGTTTATTTGAGGCATATGATTTATTTAGGCCAAAAATATATATAAATAAATCTAATTTATAATATATTTATAATATAAATATAATTAAATTTTTATGTATAGTATTGATTTTTTTTTTTATTTGGAAAGTTAGAATGTCTGCTTTATGAAACAGCATCTAAAATGTGTTTTTTTTAAAATAGCATTTAACTAATTTTTTCTGTAATTATTACACATGCAGATTTATGAGTGCATATTAACTAAGCAACAACATGGACTATTTGTACTTTTAGAAATGATTTTTCATGTCATTATCAACTAGTAAAGGCAAAAATGGTGATGCTTTACTTTAGTATGCAATTAACTTACTACATGCATTTAAATACATTTTTACCTATAAAGTGTCCATGGGCACTTAATGCATATTATTTAGGGTGCTTTTAAACTGCTATATTAAAAACCTGTCTGTATTTGACTTAACTGAACTGCTTTTTTAATAATGTTCATGTCTGATTAGCTTGATGTAGTTTGCGTTTGTCTGAGAGAGTTGTACGTTTGACTGTTCACAGAGCTTTTGTGTTGTAGGATTTTGAACTTCATTTAACTCCTTGCTTTTTCTAAAAACAGTGGTTGGACATCTGGTTCGGTTTGTGACTGAGGCATTTAAAGCAGATACTAAGTTTCCTATAGACATGCAGACACTTTTATTACGCTCGCTCACTTTTAGTGCAGTGATCTGAACAAACTCCTGACATGTTTTGCATGTAGAACCCTTGCATTTGCTCAAGAAAATGTGAAAATCTTGATTTACTGTCATCCGTTTTGTTTTTAAAAGTGCACGTTGCTCCAGCCGTGTGTTAATTACAGCTGATGCTGCGTGCGGATCTCCGTAACTAAAGGCGAGTCTCCGTGGCCCGGATGTGTCCCCGCTCCTGAAACAGGTCAACCTGATCCTGAAAGCAGCACCTCTGAACCCGTCTGTCTCTGTGATACACCGCAAACTCAGACACAGGTCACCGTGAGACACACACGAAACGCGGCTCTCCATTAGCTCCACTGAGAAAACAAGACTTCATTGGTCTCAAAATGATTTAGGGTACAGGAGAAAATGGACGGTTTCAGTGTTAAATCACCATGAAGTGTGAGCTAGTTTAATGGGCAATTAGGAAATCAGTGCTGAAACTCATAAAACAGATCCATTAATCTGTTAATGAATCAATTAATCCATTAATAACATTTTTATTATGATTATAAAGGAATAGTGAAGATTCTCTGTCATGATGCTACAGCAGATTTTCAGTGAATAATGGCTACAATTTCAGTCTGTTTCTCACACAAATCTGTCATGAATTCAGAAAAATTGGAAGATTGTGCATGTGAGTTTTTTATTTGTTTTGCAGTTGCTAAGATTCTCTGAGTGATCGCTATGTGTTCTGAATGGTTGCTAGGCGGTTTCTTTTTTATGTATGTATGTATGTATGCAGGGTGCGAACTACGGGGGAGCTAGGGGGAGCTCGGCTACCCTTAATAAGACATGGGCTCCCCTGAAAACGTGATTTGTGAAATTTTGGGGGGGGTCTCAAAAAATATTGACTGTGTTATTTTGACGTGCAATTTCAGTTTTGTGTAATGTGATCATCGTGTATTATTATGTGTACATACACTTGTAGCTGTTATGTATCTTTGTAAGACATTGTAAGCCAACGCGCAAGCGCACAACAACACCCCCCCCCCTTATAAAAAATAAAACAAGTGGGCTCCCCCAAAGTCCATGGTATAGTTTGAACACTGTATGTATGTACAGTATGTATGTATGTATGTACTATTATATCTTTTCATTCATATTTTGAATTAACTGTTATTTTTATATTTTAATTTTAATTTCAGTATAATTACATTTGTTGTCATTTTATTATTTGTGTGTATATATATATATTTATATATAATTTTTATTTTTTTTTTTTTTTTTTTCTTTTTGAAACTGTGTATGTATCAGCAACTCAATTTTCATTTAATTCATTTAGTTTAGCTTTTTGTTGTTTTTATAAATTTTTTAATATAAATATTACTATTTATGTTTAATTTATTTTTAACTTCTTTTTTTTATGAATTCGTTTTTTTTACTTACTACATATTTCATAAGTTGCCAACATTTCTCTTTTATTTAAATGTTATATTTTATTTTATTTCTGCTTTATTCCAATTAACAAAAAAATATTTTAAAAGATTTAGTTTACAGTAATAGCCCTGCTCGGAGTCAGTCCCCATCCACTTTCATTGTATAGAAAAGAACAGCATGAACATCTGGCTAAGTATCTCTTTTGTGTGTGTGTTCCATTTAAGAAAGAAAGTCATTGGAATGACATGACAGTGAGTAAATAGTGACAGATTTTTATTTTTAGGTGAACTGTCCCTTTAAGAACATGCTGATAACTCTCTGACCCACTTTTTCAGTGAATGAATTCCAAATTCAGGAGAATAATGAATGTTCAGATGTGGCGCTCTGCCCAGCGCGATTGGTTCGTATTAGTACTTATCGGACAGGCATGTCATGACAGCGATGGAAACTTCAGTGCTGTTTGCTTTGGTGGTCTGATAACTTCTCTCTCTCTCTCTGTGTGTAACTGAGTATCTAGAGTTGCAGTCACAGCAGTGAACCTGATCTTAGACTCTTACAAAATTAAACCCCACTGACTGATATTGTATGCCGCTCCTTTAAGTAACTCTTACTTGCCGATGGTTATCGATGCCAGGTTGTTCTCCGGCTGCTCTGCCAGCGCTGAAGTGGATGCATAAAGACTAATGACCTCTCTGGGTCTTCAGGTGGCCATGGACTGAAGCTTTTGTGCCAGGACATTGTTTGCAAAAATCCTGTCTGGGTTTGGAATTTGGAAAACTTGGGAGAAATAAGTTTTGAGTTGGGAGAGTTTTGAGCTATAAAATTAGTTTTAGCTATGAAAGTTTTCTTTATACTTCAGATTTTTCTTTCTACATTTCTACTACTAAAATTTGGTGTTTAATTCAATGTGTTACTTGCCGTTTCTTCGTAATTAATTTTGACATTTACAAACAAATTCTTAGAATGTTGCTTTGGGAAGTAATTTTAATAAATTCAGTTTAAATTGAAGTACTAAAATTACTACATAAATTTACTGAATAATTACTTTTAATTATAATTTTTTATTAAATTCACTAAAATTTAGAACAGAGTTAAAATGTAAACTAAAAGCTAATAAAAAAATAAATAAATTTTAATAGTAAACTATTATAAAACTAATATTTGAGCTATATATTTGAGATGTTTTGCTGTTTGTAATTAATTGTGACATCCAATAGCAATTTCTGAGTGAAAATTGTTTCTACAACAATTTTTAATTACTTAAATAAAAATT